AGCTGCCTGGCTGCCGGCCGCCATCTTGGTTGGCAGTTAATTTGCATATCGCCCTGATTAGCCAATGGGAAGGGTAGCAAAGTTATGGTTAATTACCATGTTTCTCTTTTATTAGATAGGATATTATAAATAGAAAAATAAAAAAGTATAAATATAAAATTTATAGCTTATAAATTATTTGCATAAAAAGAAATAATAGAGTTTAAAATATTTGTTAAAATGGAGGAATAAGATGAAAAGATTGCTTGAAAAGATTGCTTGTACTCTAACCGGTTTGGCTCAGTGGATAGAGCGTCGGCCTGCGGACTAAAGGGTCCCAAGTTCGATTCCGGTCAAGGGCATGTATGTTGGTTGCGGGTACATCCCCAGTAGGGGGTGTGCAGGAGGCAGCTGGATGATGTTTCTCTCTCATTGATGTTTCTAATTCTATCCTCTCTCTTACTCTCTGTAAAAAAATCAATCAAATATATATTAAAAAAGAAAAAAAAAGATTGCTTGTGCGTACCTTTAGCTCACCATGAAAAAACTCCTGGATAGACTCGATCAGGTTCTCAACGTTGGCCTCACTGAAGGCGTCGTCATGAGTCAGGTATATGAACCTATCTGTGAGGGATTCCAGAGGAAGTCAAGAGATGACAGAGATGTCTGAGTCTAGTATCAAAAGAAAGACATCAGATGATGCCCCCATACTATGTAAAGTTATATGGTTTAGTGGGGAGAACCACCAGACATCAGGATAGACAGTTCCTGTTCTCACCTTTACTGTTTGCTCTGCCCAAGCCCTTCCCCTTTATGAGTCTCAGTTTTCTCAATTACAAATTCAATGTTCTCTAAGGGCTTCCTAAGCTACAAAAACATTGGAGTGAACTCTAGCAGAGTGGTTAAGAACACAAACCTTATCTCAGTTTCAGACTAGCTGGAATCCTGGCTCTCCCACTTATTAGTTCTATGACTTAAAAAAAAATTTTATTATTGAGATTATTATAGATATCCCTTTCCCCCCCCAAAGCTCCTCTCCACTCGATTCCCACTCCACCCCAGGCCCTTGCCACCCTATTGTCTGTGTCCATAGGTACTGCATACATAAAAGATCTTTGTCTTATCTCTTCCCACACCCCCCTCCAACCCCCTTCCCTCTGAGAACCGTCAGTCTGTTCCATTTCTATGCCCCTGATTCTATTCCATTCACCAGTTTATTCTGTTCATCAGATTTTTTATTTATTTGATTTTTAGATTCATTTGTTGATAGATATGTATTTGTTGTCACTTTGTTGTTCATAATTTTTCTTTAACTTTTTCTTCTTCTTCCTCTTCTTAAAGAATACCCTTCAGCATTTCATATAATACTGGTTTGGCGGTGATGAACTCCTTTAGCTTTTTTTTGTCTGTGAAGCTCTTTATCTGACCTTCAATTCTAAATGATAGCTTCGCTGGGGAGAGTATTCCTGGTTGTAGGTTCTTACTATTCATCCCTTTGAATATTTCTTGCCACTCCCTTCTGGCCTGCATAGTTTCTGTTGAGAAATCAGTTGATAGTTGTATGGGCACTCCCTTGTAGGTAACTAACCGTTTTTCTCTTGCTGCTTTTAAGATTCTCTCTTTGTCTTTTGCTCTTGGCATTTTAATTATGATGTGTCTTGGTGTGGTCCTCTTTGGATTCCTTTTGTTTGGGGTTCTCTGCGCTTCCTGGACTTGTAAGTCTATTTCTTTCACCAGGTAGGGGAAGTTTTCTGTCATTATTTCTTCAAATAGGTTTTCAGTATCTTGCTCTCTCTTCTTCTGGTACCGCCATAATTCAGATGTTGATATTCTTGAAATTGTCCCAGAGGCTCCTTACACTATCTTCATATTTTTTGATTCTTTTTTCTTTTTGCTCTTCTTGCTGGGTGTTTTTTGCTTCCTCATATTTCAAATCATTAACTTGATTCTTGGGATCCTCTAGTCTACTGTTGAATCCCTGTGTATTATTCTTTATTTCAGTCAGTGTATGCTTAATTTCTGACTGGTCCTTTTCCATTTTTTGGCATTCTCACTAAGACCCTTGAAGGTCTCACTATGTTCCTTGAAAATTTTAGAAGATTCTCGAGTAACCTTATAACTGTGGTTTTGAACTCTATATCCAGTAGTTTGCTTTCTTCCATTTCTTTCATTTGTGACATGTTTCTTTGTCTCCGCATTTTGGCTGCTTCCCTGTGTTTGTTTCTATGTATTAGGTAGCTGCTAAGTCTCCTTGAATTGATAGAGTGGCCTTGTGTAGCAGGTGTCCTATAGGGCCCAGTGGCTCAACCTCCCCAATCACCTGAGGTGGACACTCTTGATGTACCCCTTTGTGGGCTGTGTGCACAGTCTTGTTGTAGTTAAACCATGATTGCTGTTGGTATCACTGGGAGAAATTGACCTCTAGGCCAATTGGCTGTAGGGACCAGCTGTAACTACAGTGGGAGAGCTGCTGTGCAGGAGACACCCTTATTAGGCAGGACTTGCTTCAGTGAGGCTTTGGTGCTCACTGAGTCTGCCCCTTATGCATGTGAAGAGTTGTAATCTGGTATGGTCTCACACTGACCACTGGGTACACTGGCTCTTGGATCTCCAAGAATGTGCAAAGTTGGCCACTGCCTAGGGCCACCCAGCAGGAACTACAGAGAGATCTGCAGATTCCTCCTCTTTGTATCAGATTTGGAAGTGCCCAAATGAGGCCCAGCTGTGAAGCAAGGCAGGCTGGGGTTGGTGCCGGCCTTGGGCCTTTTATTGATAGCTTTGGGACTCCCTAACCTAATTGCAGCTTGGTTGACAGGTTTTAGGCTGAGAAAGGACAGGCCATTCATATGCAAAAGCTGCTGCGCACAGCTTGGATGTGGTTGCAAATTGGGTGGGACAGGCTCTCAGGGAATCTCCAGGGTAGAGCAAACAGAAATGTCTGCCAGTCAGCCCTGCACCTAGGCGGCCCCAGCACGGGAACAATGACTGCTGGGAGCACCTCCGTCTGGAAGAAAGCCATCCCTGCATTCCTACCCCAATGCCAGACAGTCCAGTTTCTCCTGTACCTGTCTGGGTCCCCCAGAGCCTTGCCTGGCACTGGAACTCAGAGCAAGTGGGAGCTTGTAAATTCAGTTCACGGTGCTGGCCCTTTAAGAGGAGCAGCTGGTTCTCCAGCAGCCTGTGTGTCACTCAGCCCCAATCCGCACTTGTTTTTATAGTCCGTAGTTCTTACTGCCCGTAGGGACTTCTTTCCCCAGTTCTGGGATCCTGGGCTGGGGGTCTGGTGTGGGGCTGGGACTCCTCGCTCCTCCGGGTAGCCTCCAAAGAGGCGATCTCCCTCCCGATTAAAAAAGCAGCACACCCGGGTGCCCGAGCAGCCCCTTCCACACCTCTGCACCTCCACACCTCCTACCAGTCTCAAAGCGCTTTCTTCTTTACCTCTCTAGTTGTAATACTTCCACTCAGCCAGCTTTCCCGTGGTTCTGGATGATAGTTTTTCTGTATTTTAGTTGTAATTTTGATTTGGTTGTGGGAGGCAGCAAGTACATGTGTTTAACTATGTCACCATCTTGGTTCTTCCTCTAGTTCTAAGATCCTTGAACTAGAGAATCAAGTTAGTTTGTCTGTTGAAACCTTAGTTTCCTCACTTGTAAAACAGGACCATTATGAGGATTAAGTGAGAAAATACATATAAGACTTATTCCAGTATGTGGCCCACAGTAAGCACTTAAATAGTAGATATTATTCAAATTCAAAAGCTTATGACTATGGTGACAAGAGCTTAAAATATACTAACAGTACCTTGCTGTTTTCTTCCTGCTTGACCAGGTTGCAATAAGTGCTTGAGGTATTTCCTTCCTGACCTGAGATGTACTTTAAAAGCACAGGTCCAGTGTAGGGAATCCTTGCTCTGCTTTTTTCTAGCATTCTGACTCTGTGAGGCCTTACTTTCTCTGGGCCTATTTCTTCATTTCCAAAATGGGGATCATAATAGAATCTACCTCATTTGGCTGGTACAGAACTAGCACCAAAGAAGTGTTGGCAAATCTTATTCCTTTGCTCACTGAGTGACAATAATTATGGTGGCATCATGTAGGTTTACATCCTTACCTTCTCTATTTTTCAATTCCAAATCCCTGTTCCTATTGGACAAACAGGCTATTTCCACCTTAACATACCTATCATCTGAGGGTTTCTACCACTCAATGTTTGTACTCCTTTTGGTCTCCTGAATTATAGCCTCTTCTGCAAATTCCTCCCACTCCCTGCCATGTCCTTGTTATCCAGTAGAAGCCATGTTCTTGTTCACCTCCTATCTTTGCAAAGGCTTTCCTTTTGCTTGTATGTTTCCCCTTCTTCTGTCTCACCTTCCCTTATCTCTCCTCGAATATCTAACTCTTGCTCATTCTTCAGGGCTCAGCTCCAGCATGCCTTTCCTGAATCCCCTCTGCTCATTTTGGCTAAATATCCTCCTAGCTGCTAATAAACCTCTTCACATTTGCTCCTTACTCCCACCTCCATCCCCAGTCACACATTATACTGAGTTCCATTTCTTTGTTTCTCTAGGAGTATACTGTATTTGTTCTGTTTACTGCTATATCTCCAGCAGCTAGATCAGTGTTTAGAGTATAGCAGGGCTTAAATAATTATTTATTGAATGAATGTACAAATAAATGAATGTAGTTCCTCAAACATACTATAGTCTTTCCTGTCTCGTGCACATACTGCTCCACCTATCTGGAATGCTCTTCCCTCTACTTCTCACCTGGGTAGCTCTTTCATGTCTTTGAGACCCTCTTTAGGTTTAAACAGCAGTGTCTCAGACAGGTTCTCTCTGCCAAACATGATTTAAATTAGGTTCCCATCCCTTTATTTATTTATTTATTTTTGGTCTTAGTCCTTGTTTAATTCTTTCATAGTGTTTACTACAACTTGTAATTACTTTATTTACTGTCTCTTTACTTATTTTGGTTCTTCTCAGCACTATGATGTAAATTGTGAGGGCAGGAACCATGTTAGTTTTGTTCACTGATGCATGTCATTGTTCCCGTGCTGGGGCCTCCTTGGTGCAGGGCTGATTGGCAGCCATTTCTGTTTGTTCTGCCCTGGAGATTCCCTGAGACCCTGTCCCACCCAATTTACAATCCCACCCAAGCTGTGTGCAGTGGCTTTTGGATATGAATGGCCTGTCCTTTCTCAGCCTAAAACCTGTCAACCAAGCTGCAGCTGGGTCAGGGAGCCCCAAAGCTATCAATAAAAGGCCCAAGGCCGGCACCAGCACCAGCCTGTACTTAATAGTTATAGAATAAAAGAAAGATAGTTATTTTATAGGCCAATCCAAATTCCACCCACACCTACCTTTCTCTTCTCAGAATCCTTCTAGCATGTAGACCTTGTGCAAATAGGCAGGATTATTTGTCTCAGGACCAAGTTAGTATCCTGAATGTCTAGAATAATGTCTCTTATCTCATTTTTCCAATCATATTCCAAGGTTTTAAAGTCAGGGACCAAATTCATTGTCAAAGTCTAGTTAAGGGCTGGTTACCGAGTCACTTGACTTGAAAAGAGATACCCCTCCACCCTGCTCTTTCCCCCTTTTACCTGTAAATTCAAGGCTACTTGGGCCCTTTATAATATCCTCTAAGTTGCTCAGCTGCAAATCCACACTTCCTGAATCACTATCGGACGCATAAGGGACCACTACGTCCCAACTACAGATCCTAGGAAAAAAGAGGGGATTAGAAAAATTAGTTTTTCAAGATTGCTTCTGTCTCATCACTCAAGCTTAAATGTCACTTTTCAGAGGCGTTTATTGATCACCAATCTAGGTTAACCAGTCTCTCCCCACCCCAGTCCGACAGTTATTTTTCTTATGTTTTCATAGTATTTAATCATTGCCTATAATTATCAAGTTAATTTGTGTTGTTTATTGACTGTCTCCCATTAAACTATAAACTTCATGAGAGGAGAAACCCTGTTTATATGGTCATAGTTGTATCCTCAGCACTTAGCATATTGTCAGCCTTATGGGGAGTAAATGGATAGATAAGAAATACTATGCCACTGTTAAAAAGAGACTGAGACAAAGAAATGCTACTCGCCATGAAAAAGGAAATCTTACCCTTTGCTACAGCATGGATGGGCCTCAAGAGCATTATGCTAAGTAAAATTAGTCAGAGAAAGTCAAGTACCATGATTTCACTTATATGTGGGTGGTAATGAACAAAATTAACTAACAAACAAAATAGAAACAGACTCGTAGAGAACAGATTGACAGCTGTCAGAGGGGAGAGGGTTTACCAGGCTTGGTGAAAACGGTAGAGGGATTTAGCAAACAAAACAAAACAAAAAACAGACACAGACAACAGTACAGTGTTTACCAGAGGGAAAGAGGGTTGGGGGGAGGTAGAAGAGGATAAAGAGGGGATAAATGGTGATGGAAAGAGACTTGACTTGGGGTGGTGAACACACAACATACAGATGATGTATTATAGAATTGTACACCTGAAACCTAAATACTTTTATTAACCAGTGTCACCCCAATACATTCAATGAAAAAAAAGAGAGACTGAGGTAGAATACCCCCCACCTACCTCAATCCCTCTTCCCCTTTCTTTTTTTCTATAGACAAAATACCTTCTAATATGTGATTCACTTATTTATGATATTGTTTATTGGATAATAGTTTTCATTACTAGAAAAATATTTCTTCAAATTTTTGTACTATTCACAATGTAAAGTCTATAAAGACATGACACATTTTTAAGTTTAATTTCTATTAACATTTTATCCACCATTAGGTTTAGACAGTAACAAAGCAATAATTGATAACCTAAAAATAAAAAGGCCTTTCAAAGTGAGAGGCAAACAAGCATTTATCTGCGATCAATAAGAATAACTATTTTGGAATCAATTCAGGTGGAAGCCCAAATAATGTTCTGATTAGGAGACAAAGGCAATAGGTATTTATGAGGAAGAAAAGAGGAACAATTACATTAATAGAAGGAAAGCATTTCTATTGGTGAAGATAACAATATAGTGATGTTAATTCTAGGCTATGTTTTAAATTTTTAGTCAGGTAGTCATCAGTTAGAACTGCTTTTTTCTTATTTTTGCAAACAGTTCTTTGGGAAACAAAGTTGTTTAGGTCCAGTCAAAGGTTATTTTTCCCTGTTTTCCTCTGGCATGGTAGCGTCAGCTCCATTTTAAAAAAAAGAAACATATTTATGGGTTTTTTTTTGGTTGCCTCCTATATGTAACCCGACTGGGGATTGACACCAAAATCTGGGTATGTGCCCTGACTGGGAATTGTACCCGACACCTTTTGGTATATGGGGTGATGCTCCAAATGAAGCCTCCAGTTCTGTTTTAAAGTGGCTTCACGTTTTGTGTTTGTTTTTATTGTTTATAAAATCAAGCTCTGGTTTGTAGCATTTGCTGAATCTATGGTTGCGGCCAAAATCAAGCTACCAATGTCACTTTGGGAAGAAATGTGCAGTAGCACACACCATCATATATTTCCACTATTCAGATACAATAGAAATAAGCAGCCACGAAAACATAGACAATGGGAAAATGTAGTGAAACACTTAGGAAGTGATGAGTTTGGTTTTCAATATACTTTATTTCATTATCAGTTTGTATAATTTAATTTTTCTTAGTTGTATTTAACAACTAATTTGCAAACTCCTGATAAATTGAACAACTGACCTTGCAAACCAGTATGAGATGGCTCCAGCATACTATTGGTTATTTTATTATTGAGTTGAAGGAGTTCTTTATATATTCTGGATCAGCACTGTCCAATAGTACTTTCTGTGATAGTGGAAATGTTCTATAATTCTGCTCTGTTCATATGATACCTACTAGCCACACGTGGCTACTGAGCACTTAAAATGTGGCTAGTACAAACTAATTTTTACTTTTGGTTAATTTAAATTCAAATTTAAATACTTACATATAGCTAGTATCTACCACACTAAACAGCACAGCACCAGACATAGCAAGAACTGACTCTCACTGTTTGGGGTAATAATATCTGGGGCACTAATAATGATAAGAAGTTACCATATTGTGCCTTGGCCGGTGGTGCTCAGTGGTTATAGCATCAAAGGGTCCCTGGTTGGGTTCCTTGTCAAGGGCACATACCTGGGTTGTGGGTTCTCTCCCCATCCCTGCACGTGCAGGAGGCAACTAGTCCATGTCTCTTTCTCTCTGTCGCTCCCCCCTCCTTCCTTTTCATCCTCTCCGAAAAGCAATGGAAAAAATATCCTCTGGTGAGGATTAACAAAACAAAAAAGAGTTACCATTTTGTGCATACTTCGTATGTTCATAATAGTTAAAAAGCACAGATGATGGAGTCAAACTACCTGGGTTCAAATCTTTGTTTCCTTCTCTATCAAATGGAATAACTATACACCTCACAGAGTGGTGACAGGGAGTAAACGAAATGTTGTGTACGTAGAGACACTGTCGGGCTATCCTGTTAACTCTCAATAAGTGGAATTAGTTATTATTAGTTCTTAGATCACTTCCATTTTTGAGCTTGTTACTTCGTAATCTTGGCTAATATGCTCCTCATAATAATGAGGAGTCACTGAATTATCGGGAGTCAAGACAAATGCTTTGCAAATCAGATGAAATGGCACTCATAGGTTAGTTATTAACAACCGAAACAATCTTTGGAGGAAATTGCCATAATTTACGAAAGGGCAATAAAAACAAACAAACAAAAAACCCTCGAATACCGCCCTTCCCCACCTGACCCTTCCCATTTCTTTAAAATTGGCCGGGCTGCAGAGACGACTGAGTGACAGGCGACCGACCAATCAGAGGTGGCCCCGTCTCGGGTCCGCCCTGAAGCCTTGCCCAATAGCGTCGTGGTAGCGCCCGGAATAAGACCGTTGCAAGGTGGCCGGTACCAAGTGGACCTGGGCGCCGGGGGGAGCGGGCCTGTACGCGAAGACCGCGAGGTCCTTTGGGCGCGAGGACCAGAATTCCGGCTGTGGCTACAGGGAGCAGCCCGGCCCAGCGGGACGGCGGGGACTGACCTGTTCCTAGAGGCCATCTCAGCACGCGGAGCCTGCCGCGAGTTCCCGGCGTCCCCTCCGGCGCGCTCCCGGAGCCACTTTTCTGAGCGGAAGTCAGCTGGCGGTGCGGACCCTTCTTGGACCTGCTCGGAGGAATGGCGCCGCCGGGTGAGGTGCTGCGCATG